ACACACACACACACACTAAACTGCCACCAAAAACATGTTTTCACTCTTTGATAAGGGAAGGACACGCAAGAGAGGAACCAATGTATTTTCAATTCTCTTTCATTTACACAAGCTCCTTAGGTTACATTCGCGTACAAGCAGACATTTGTGGAATCAGATACTCCTGTCTTCACTGTTACGCGTAGGTTTCCTACGCACGAAATTTATCTGATTACATTACAAAATTTTCTTCATTTGCATATATATCGTGTTTTCGCTACCTAACAAACTCAACAACTTTGATAAATTGCTCTAAGGATGTGTTGCTCACAAACTTAAAAATGACAGACGGAAATGTTTTGAGTAAAGGAACGTATTCAATTTGAAAAATGACCAATTTACAGACACAAGGAATCAGTGGTGAAAAACGACTTAAGGAACCTAAAGAGGCTAATGGTTTTACTTCTACTTGAAAGAGCTTGGTTTATCTACGGATAAAAATAAACTTCACTATTTCTATCTCTAATATCAAATAGACGGACACCATCTAAAATGACTAGCTTTTTGAAAAATATTACAAAAACAATTTAAATGTAATCTGTGCTTACCAGTAACCACACAAAGAATTTAATAATGTATTGCTTTAGAGAGAATGTTTGGCGCAAAGACAGTTGATTGTTTCCAAGTTTGAATTTCCTCAGACGAATTTTCTCCTTCATTACGCTCTGGTGTATAAATCTTTCCTTTACTGTTGCTATTATGGAAACGTTTCTAAACCGATATTTGTATCTGGGAGAAAATTTTCACAATTTTAAGATAATTCTGTATTCCGGTAAATTAATAGCGGGTTACACGTGGTTACAAATTTTGCATGCACATTCGATATTTTGCCGCAAAAATCTGTGCGGCTAAAATTTCCCAGTAAGCTAAATGCAGTATTCTCGATTATCAAACATTTGGTACAGGACAAAAGATAAAAATGAAAAATAGAAAAAAAAAAAGAAAGAAAGAAAACGTGATATTATGTATCGACAGGTTCATTGTTTGATGAATAAAGCCGTTTCGTTTACAAGCTTACCACCAAATTTATCAAAGTGTTTAAAATTCACATACAATTCTCATAAAGAGATAAGAATGTTGTCCATCTATAGGGTGCGATATGGGATTAACCCTGGCTGAAGCCGCAATGCCAAACAATTTTGAACGAAACGGACTGTTCTTACGCCGAAGATGCTTCAGTGACGTGTCAGCTAGTCGTTTACCAGGTTCTTTGTAAAGCAAAATGATTCATTTGTAAGGCGAGAAATATTAACAATTCGTTCGTAAAGCGATAATATTTATATTAAAATTGAGAAAGTACAAGCTCTGTATAGTGTGAAGTTTAGACAAATACACACAAACAGGACTTGTACAAATAATTTGATACTTAGGAGGACAGAACGGGTATTTCTTCGTTCCAGGATTACATCCAAGCCGAAAACGAAATATTTTTGTTTTTATTCAACAGGTGCTTTACGATAAAAGAAAATCAGTTAAACCGCACTTAGCCCTAAACGATACTAAGTTCCTCAGTTTTAAAATTAAAAAAAAAAAATCCAAGACAAGTATATTATTTAAGGACATCTTAACATTGTAACAAACAACTTAGAGGACTCGAAATTCTAGTGAAATTTTGCGAAGAAGCTGGTAAATGAGATACTGAATTTACAGTCTTTAATCGGAACAAAAGAGCGAAGTAATTCAGAAATCATATGCAAATATCACCGCTTACAGAAACAGGTTGTAACGAAGAGCAAAAGCAAATAAATCGGTTCTTTTCGATGCTTTAACCATTGTTAAAATTAGCACAAATAGTTTCTCTATGTGTGAATAAACTGGGAAAATATTCTGTGAATCATTTGAATAAGAAAACAGAGATCAGGAAAGTGACATAATTTTAGTTCTGATGCAAATCGAAATCAATCCCTTGTGAGAAGACTGAGCGAACCAAAACAAAGCGAAACCACTTCCGTCAAATGTAAGGCGCATGACACTATCAGATTCTTATATTTCAAAAATAGACTTTACTCCACATGCTTTGAAACAATATTTTTTCCGCGTCCAGTACTCGTACTCGAGAATATTCATTGAATGTCTGGTTTTTGTTTTTTTAATATTTCATGTTTTTTGCGACACTGTCGACCGGCCCAAATTTATTGTCTTTGATGAAACGATCGAAAGTATGTTTGTTGTCCTTCATTTCAAAAATAATAGACCCTCCCCATGATTGAGTAGAGGCTGGAACAGTTTGTTTAGATTCTGTTTTTAAAAACCGCTTTCAAACAGCATCGTTTCTAATCCAGTAAACATGGAAAATCGCTTCATTTGAAACCCTCCTGTTGATCACGAGTTTTCCGTGTTGTGCATATTAATAACAAGCAAACGACAATAGGAAAATATATTACCAAGAACTAAACGAAACCTAACGAGGAAAAATGTTTAAAATATTTTTACAGTGATCTTAAACCTCGCGAAATTCCTTACTTTTGTATCAATCAAAGCAACCCTTTTTTTCCTCAAATGAAAAAAATAATTATTTCATGTGGAAAAACTAAAGGATAAAATGCAAATGAGAAATCTAAAACACAGAGGTCGCCATATTTAAGAGACATTCGAGAGTGTCTCTTACCAACATAGAGCCTGCTCCATCGCGTATCGTACGCCAGAGGCTGTTCATTCTCTGACGTGCTCCTAGCTTTCTTCACGTTCCGCGTCACATCTCTCTTATTCACGGCTGGAAAATACCGTGCCACAATGATCTGTTTTCCATGTTTGGTGACAGCCGCTCCCGCTCCAAGCTCTCGCGTCCCCTCCCATACCACCTGACAGAAGGAGCGCGTACGCGAGTTAACTCGAGGCTTGTTATAATCAAAATACTTCCCTTCTTCGTACCAGATCCGTGTGACTTTCTGCCCGTTTAGTTCAGAGCCCCATAAGCAGGCGAGGTTTTCGCCGATGTCCTTGTCAGAGCTGTACCTTAGCGAGCCGCCAACGGAACTAGCGAGGTAATCTGCCCAATTTTGCGCGCTCTCCGCGAGTCGCGATGACCAGCAAAGAGGCGCTGTTCCATGTGCGGCGCGGTAGAAGTTATGGGCAGCTACGCATTCATTGCGAAAGCGCTGCAAGTCTGAGGAGAAAACGAACTTGTGGTGTTAGTCGAGACACGTTATTCAATACCGATTGAAGGAAGGCAAGAAAACTGAATAAAAGTAAAAAATTAAATAATCGTGAACTCCCATGCTGGTTATTTTCCTCAGTCGCCGTTCATTCATTTTAAGCTCGCTACTAAACAGCTGATCCTGACTGTAAGCAGAACCTGAAATTCTCCTGGACGATTCTTCGTTAAGACCCCTTCAAGAGAAAACTTATCTTGAAGACCAAGAGCACAATTTCCAATCGGTGTCAAATACCGACATGGTTCCCTATGAAGCTTCTGTAGTCTTCACATTCGATTTTCCAGACTCGTGTGAGCGACAACCGAACCAGAACTGTCATCGATCACAAGGCAGGAGGAAAAGCTACTTAAATAATTATGGAATATAAACCTTACTTACCGCTTTTTTCCATCGTAGACCGGCATATGGACGGCGAGAATGATGGTTCGATCCGAAGCGAAATTTTTCAGACCTGTCTCATATGAACTTCAACATATTCAATTCACGAAATTCTGCCGCGGTCGGCGGGCAGGTGGTGTATTGTCACGTGATCAACAAAGCAGTCATTAAGCCGCGTCCTATCTGTTTCGACACATTCAAAAGCAAAAACCTAATGACGTAATTTTATGCAGTTTGGGAACTCATTTTTCAAAGTACTTGGAACGGAAGAGACAACGATTTACACCGGCACCAAGTGCATCACTGCGAATTGAGGAATTCCGTGAAATTATTAGTTTAACGTTGGCTTGAATTCCGTGATGTCAAAGAAAATATTTCTGATTTCGCGTAGGCTTGCGTACTGTATAATTTCGACAGAAACAGGCCCATTGAAAAGAGACGCACAATCAAGAGAGCTGTTTATTGGTGAAGTTTCTGAAACGTAATATCAGTACATTCACGTCACTTACTTGAACATGTAGACAAATAATCGTCGTACTCGAAGTTGAATATTACACAAGCCTATCCGAGCTTTCCACGATGACAATTTGCCACTTAAACAGAAAAATGAGCTCGAAACCTAAATTGCGAAGCTAGGCATCAGAAATTCATTCTGGAAACAAATTCTGCTTTTCTCCCAGAAGGGGTAAAGAGTTTTTCGATTAAAATCGTTTATTAAAATATTTTCACAAGTGATTCGATCAACAACCGCTACAGAGTCACACCCGTGTTACTGAAAAATTCATATTTAACCGTGAGATGGATGTGATAAAGTCTGAAGTGGTTTTACGCAGACGTATCAGGAGCGAAGTGTCGCGACGATGAGAAAAATATTTTTAAATAGTTGAAGCGCTTTGCTGGGGTAGAAGAAAAATTATGCTAAACGTACTATGTTTTGAAAGCATTTTTTGTGCATAATATTGACTTTATTTATCTGATCCACTTGGACATTAGCAAAGAATATTTATATCTTATAGTTCACGGTGTTTATTGCAGTAACATATAACACAGAACTTAAAATAAATGAAGTTTGAACAAACATAATGATGAATACAGTGAATTGGCACGGCGTTCAATATAACTTTTCAATACCGCTTGCTTCATAAATGTGAACAATATTTAAAGGAATAAAAAAGCAAAACAAAATGAGAAAAGCAATCTGTTTACTATCAATAATTCAACAAGCAAAATAACTTCGTTTGCGAAAAACTTTCATAAAGAAGGTCTGAGTGGCCTTGTAGTTTCGTTTCTCAAGTTTCTACGTTCCTAGACAACTACGCCGTTCAAACCTTATCAACGACCATAAGAACCGTGTTTTACACGAGGCACGAATTTTTAGCCGTGGTGACTACAGAAATAATTACAGAAAAGCACAAAGAGAGAATTGAATTTTTCATAAATGGCCAACGGGCATGTGAAAGAAAAGCGAAAATCTTTATTTGCATGTTTCCAAATAAGACCGTGGTACATTTAACATTCCAAATACTTTATGGCTCTTGAAATATAAACTGCAAATCCGAAAAAATCCCTCTCGATTAAATTTTTTATTTCCATATAAAACAGAGAAACATTTTAAGACTATAAATATGTATTTAAAATATATTTATGCCGCTTTCGTAAAAATAAAACAATTACTCCTAGGTGCACATTACAAATAAGAGCGCTTCATGTAAATCGAAGTTTAGTGGAGGTTTATTTATTCCAATTCACAGTGTTAACACGTCTAAGCCAATGATTATGGTTACGAGTTTTCAAATGTGTTGAAAATGAAAGAAACAGACTATGAAAAATTAGAAGCAGTATCGAAAAAGCAAAATCGTATTATACGCCCCCGTAATTCATAAAATCCGACAACTTAATTGTGGCGGATCCCTACTTAATGATATCGTCGCAGTAAAAAAAAGGAAAAAAATTGTTGAACCTATATTTGAGGAACTGCAGCTGCATCAGAACAAGTGCGAAATGTTTTCACGCCGCTAGGCACAGACAGAAAGCGTTTTCAGAAAAATTATTATTGACAGCCCACGTTGCACAACAAAATATTTGTTACAAGACACGAATAATTATTGCGTTCAAATCTTGCACTGTCGTAATACAGTCGTGATGTACGTCAAAGTGATTAATGGTACGGGAAGACATGGCATTAATGAGAGCCATTTTCACTGTAGGGGGAAAGCAGGCATGTTTACATTAAAATTTTAAGGTTTTCTTCCTAAGTTTCCCTAAGTTCCATTTATGGCGCTTCTGATATGGGTCTAATCTCAACTTCATTGTCAAGGTCTCTCCTTTTTTCTTTTCCTGATTCCCTGAAGCGATAGACACAACTAGTTTGGTTTTCATATCCGAGCTGTGACACAGAGGAACTAACTTTTTATGTCTTCCTCATTCCCAGGGCCATCATAATTATACCAACAATAGCCAAATTCACCTCATCAATAACTTTTTGTATGAAAATAATTTCGAGTAAGCTGGTTTCAAAGTGATAGCTGGCTACCCTTCAGGGCTTACCCAACAGTCTGCCGATACCCATTCATACAGATGCGAAAAGAGAGACAAAGTGAAATAACCGATCTTTCCCCAAACAATAGGGTCAGGGTTTTTGGAAGCTGGTTTAAAATAACTCAAGGTTACCGTGAAATCGAATTTCAGATATGAAAGCTTTAAAAGAAAATTCAGTACAATTTTTCTCACCAACAAATGGATCGTTGCATACTCGAAAATGAATAGAGAAAATTATTCCAAAAGGCTCTTGAAAAAATGAATAAAAGAAGCCCGGATTAAAATGTAACCTTTGGTTAGAGCTATATCGGCCTTAGCACAACTGGGCGCAGGTATTTTACTAACGATAGCCAGAACAAACACACACAATTCAATCCACAGCCAATTACTGCGTTGCTACCCATTCCAGTACAGAAGTCCAAGCCACTTTACACTCTGCTGGTTTACACCTGCACGTTAGTCAAATTACTCAAATCTAAGATTATTTGGTTTTATCAATTTAGCTGATAACGTAACTCGGCCACCGTAAAGAGCCTCTAAGGCTGACGTTTCGTGCGTTAGCCCTTCGTCTTGACTTCGTCCTTCACTCTGACCAAATCATCTTGCAATACCCCCCACCGACGTCGCACCAGAGTTTCTTTAGAAACTTAAAGCCCCGTTCAAACGGTCATGATAGTTGATGACAATTGACAAAATCACACAATGAAATCGCGTGATTGTAAACAAATATGGCGCGCGCTGAGGCCAGCAATTTCGGTGGTGTTTGAAATTTTAGTAAAGACGTTGCGAATCGAAGATACTGAAGCCTACCAGGAAATGATGAGAATGAACTACGAGACACTCTGCGAAATTTTGACGGCTGTTTTAGTCATTTTACCTACGTCCACTTCAGTTTTAGCCAGTTTTTGGCAATATGCTGACCGAGAAACTATCATCCGCTCGTTCAAGCAGCAATTTCAACACGTTCAAACTACATGATAGTTGACGATAGTGCATGATAGTTTGTGTTCAAACGCGTGTGTTTATTGAAACTATCATCAACTATCATGACCGTTTGAACGGGGTTTAAGTTTCATCTGATACTAGGACCGATTTCAAGACGGGACAACAGAAGGCCCTTGAAGGAAAAGGTAATTATTCGTTTTTCCATTTGTCCCTTTGGTAGAATTGATCAGTTGCTCTGATTGGCTTCAGTTAGAAGAGAAATAACAAAATAACACCTATCACATATGTACTGGTGATTTCAATTTTCTTTATTTATAAGTTATAAAAAAACTCACTTAAAAACAACATCCTTCGAATCTAGTCGAATCTAGCATACATATTAATATGTCCAGTCAACAAATCTGGTGTCTGTGAAAGGTCAGGCGTGTGAAAAATACGGAATTTATAAAAAAGAGCGCAACATTTGTAGAATGCCTTGAAGATGCAAACTTAAACTTTGCACACATAAAGCGCATTCTTGTCATTCATTATCCACTCAGTTGCGATTTGCTACACGGCGAGTGTATCATTTAGCGGCGCTTCCGCTGAGAAACTTTTGCAACAATGTTTGAATTTCTTCCACGTTCTCTACGACTTTTGCTGAAGGGGGAAACTGCTTTCTAAGATCAAGGATTGTTGAGACAGGTATCTTCAATTTCTGTATCGCTTCATCATAAAGTGCCTCCCCCTGTAAATATAAACAACAAGGTCGTGGATTAGTATTTACTATATTCCGGCCGGATTAAAGTATGCAAACGAAAATACTACGGAAGGAAAGAAACCTAATCGAGAAATTTATTATCACCTTACCTGACTTTCACTGGGTAAATCGTGCTGTGTTTTTAAACGTTTTGGTTCGGGCTGCAACAAAGAAAGTTCCATCAATCCCATTCCCACAAAGTCCATCAATCATTGGATCACGATTCGGTGATGCAATTTTCTTGAAAGTTGAGATATGTTTCAAACACAGCTACAACCCCTTGCCATTTGCGACTCCTTTTCGAGTACTTGCAGAGTTATGAGTACGACGTGAACGTTGTGCATTATCCAGACTAATGCCCCATTCACACCAAAGCTTAAACATGTTTAAAAGTTGTTTTGTTAAACACAGTTTAATTTTTTTTTTCTTCATAGAAACTATTTAACCGAATATTTTTGACTTGAATGTAGCACATTGGAAATGCAAGTTAGCTAGTACTTGAATCCAATGGAAAATCAAGTTTTTCAGTTCTCTGTTTATAATTTTCATTCAATGAAAACCAGTTTAACAAAACATGTTTTGCTTGTGTGAATGGGGTATAAGTCTGAGTGATGCACAACGCAAATAAAGGCAAAATCATAAAATTTTTTTTAAAATAAAATTCGAAGGGTTTGATGACTACCTCTATCTCTTTGTTTTCATTCGCACTATCGTTCCGTAATCGACCCCTTGTGTCCATAAATGGTATCTCTGTTTCTTGAATGTCATTGGACGGCGTGATCTGTGTTTTACTCCATGCCTCCGTTCCGAGTTGTTGTCTTAAAAACTCTACATCGAATTCCTACATATCCTGCTAAGGAAAAAAACTGAAAGAAGCGCGCAAAAAATATTCCACTTTTCAGTTACTTTTACAGAAGTTACACCACTGCGACTCAGGCAAAGGATACAGTCATGTCTTCAACTCCGAGTTCACTGTGCCGATAAGGAAGCTTAAACACAACAACAAAGTAACATATTAGCTATCCACTGATCTGATTCTATTTCCGTAACTTCCTAACATCAGTATGAATATTCTCCATACTACGCCCTAGACATTTCCTAAGGTTCTGACCAGGAGAATTTGTCCAACAATCAAGAGCTTCTTTAGTTGGTGATCATCTTCTTTATTCTCATGACCTTCATGTTTGATTTAGGGTTGATGTTGTAAGGAGAAATTAGATTTTCCTCACACTGAGGGATTTAAGGGTTAAAGGAAAAAATATAGTAGCAAATGAACTAACCTGATTTAGAAAATCTGACAAACTGGGAAGTAAATTCTCTGGAACACAATCTCCCATCACGTGAGTGTATCGGGTGACCTGGGAACAAAACAACAATCATAGAGCTTGATAAAGTGAGGTGGAAAATTCTTGAGTTATCATCAGACCCTACTGGATTTCAATGAACTTCTTAAAAACCCCTTCAATAAAATCAACAGGATTTATAATTTTAAATTTCAATGTTTGAATAAATCCTAATACCTCTGCGAATGCCTTAACGCTCTGAAATGCTTGCTGATGAACCAACCAGTGCGTGTCATTGACCAATGCGGAGAACATGGCGCTGATGTCGCTTAACACTGCGGACTGGTAGCAACAAATATCAATAGGACACAACCAGAGCAAAATAACTGCCATAATCTAGAGAAAAGTTCTCTACATGCAGTGCCACTACTATTAGAAAAAAAATTAACCAGACACAACATAGGAAACGAACAGGAATTGCAAATAAACTAAATTGTTTCAATCAATGCTTGGGAATAAAAAAAAAGCAAACATCACATAAGATTAAAATGGGATTCATTGTTTTTGTTTTCTTGTTGCAATCGCATGGCTCAATTTTCTGTAAGCGACCCCGCTAACGGTAGTCGCTCTGTAAATGGAACTCTGCTAAAAAAGCAAACAAAAAAACAACCAAACAAAAACAAAACAGAGGATATTTTGTCTTAATCATTGCTAATACTTGTGAAGTTGATCACCTAAACCAGCCAAAAAAAATTAAGGCAGACTTTGAGCTAACATAAGCACTTTAGGTTAGGTTCAAGTTAGGGTTAGCTTAGGGTTATGCTTAGGGTTAGCTCACATAAGCTCAAAAGCCAAAACGGTTAGCTTCTTCGTACCTCAAGGTGTTCTGGGATTTCTTTACTACCGCATCTCCCGAGAAACTCTGCGGCTGCCTGGCGAACTCCTACAGTAGGTTTCTTATCAAGGAGACTTCGTAAGCCAATAAGTATCTGTTAAAATGTAACAACAAAAAACATAAATTCTATTTTAAGCTAATAACACAAATACTTGCTTTCAACAGGAAACCCAAAACCGCACTGTACCGTTGCGTAATCTTCAGGCTGGATCAAGGGAAGCAAGGTGGACGTCAAATCCAGTAACTTGCACCACATATGGATTCTAAATCGCTGCAAAATTAACGAGAAATTTTGGCGGTAAGGTTAGTTTCGGAAGTAAATATATGTTGAGTAATGTGTTGGTAAAGTTAGTATTGCAAGTTGAGTAAGTCTCGAAAAAACTGTCTCTTACTTAACAGATAAAATCCGGGATTATTATACTAGATGGACTCAAGTCATACCCTTTCCACAGCAGTTTTGTTTCTACCTTTCAGTGAAGCAAGGCAGCGCAGAGCTGGGTTTGGGAAGCGCCGGAGCAATTCCCCACCCGCCTTCAACGTTCGTGATCAGTAAGTCCTTCCTCGGCTGTT